TAAGAGTCCAATAGAACAAATTAACTGAAAATATGCGGTAGTTTGGATTACAGAGTTGGAAAATCGCTAAACTATCACTCCCGAGTGTGTCCTGCAGCAGGTTGTTTTGGCCGCACAACACACTGCCGTGTGTCTTGATAGTTATGATTAGGGGTGAGTATCTCATCATAGTAGTCGATACGATACGTATATAGACATTGATGTCGTGATACCATACTTATCTAAATACAGAAGTTTTACCAACAATTTGTTACAAAGTTTGACAAGTCTTGTCTATAATTTATAATCTATATTACTAACATTGTCTTATTTAAGTACTTCACACTTTACAGGTTTTTCAAATTCTCAGGTTTGATCAATTAAATGGCAGCTGGCAAGACAAGTAAAATAAAAATAAAGTTAATATCTATCTATCTGTTTTGTTATTGGTAATTTGTTGTTACTTTGTATGTAATGTTTTTGATAAAAGAAATAAAGACAACATGTAATACTCAATACTCATCTTCCTTTATTGAATCATTAATTTATTAGCAAAAATACTTTATTAGAAATTCTGATTTTTTCTGTACAAAAGACATATAATGTTTACTGAAAGCTTGACAAATTTAGTGAAGATAAATAAATCGTATCGTATCGGACGATGTATCGATATAGTCGTATCACGGCTTCACGATACGATACTCGTATCGTATCGCTGTATCGCCACATCTTTAGTTGTGATTAACGTGCATGGCTGTAAGATCACCTAGAAAATCGACACAATGTGCTATCAGCATTAACACTCATTATATTATTTTAAACCGCAGAAAAATATTGGAAACGTAGTGGACTAAAGACACAAATGTAGGGATTTCAAAGTGTGAAAAACTTTAAAGCACATAAAATACTGCTAAAAACTTACAAATCAATAAACACATAGGGAACTCAGACACAAGTAAAGGGTGATATAGAACTGCTCCCCCCTGTGGCAAGTCTTTGGACTTATAATGCTAAAAACTGGGTTTTGAAACCCGTGATTGGCAGCCCATTGTGTAGCTTTGTGCTTAACTGCAAACAAAAACATAGTACTGAAAAAAAAAAAACAGTGACAAACCTCAAGACATATAAAAATGACATGAAATTTGTAGATGAATGAATAGTAACATCAATGTATATTATAGCCAAATGTCTGTATGTCACGATCTGTATCTCCTGAACTGTTAATCGTAAGGGGGGGAGAGATATATATGTATATCAAAATCCTTATTTTCAAGAGTACGTTACAGGAAAATTATTCAATTTTTGCAATTCCTAAGATTTCGTGTTCATATCAACATCATCTGCCAGTCTTAGTATGTGCTGAATGGTTAATCTGAGAATGAAACTTATTAAAAACAAAAATGTTTATTTTTTGTGAGGGAATTTCACGAACGAAACGGGACTTCCTCCGTCGACTGATTGAAAGAAATATTTCGAAGATAGGAGAATAAACGAAAAAAACGTATAAAAGAGGAACGTGTTTGAGTATGTAGTTGTGTTTGTTTGGTTTATTATTATTTTTTAAGTCGATATTATATACATACCTGATTTTACTGTACCATGTCGAATAAATTGGTTTGAATTGAACTGAATATCCCCCCTTTTGATACTTCTTATAGAAACAATAACTGTCAAAAAGCGCTCACTTCGATAGCAGTCTTACACTCAGTAAAATGACAAGGAACGGTGGCATCCAACGGAATAAACATCCCCACGGCTACTCAGCGAGCTTGAGCGCTCTATTGTTCTGTGTGCATACATTGTATCGAAACCAAAACAATTTTGTCAACAATGTATTGCAATCAGTCTTCTTTGCTTTAAAACAAAAGCACAGATAGCCTATTGTGTAGCTTTGCGCTAAAAACTAATATAAAACGTACAAAACCCAGTGGCGCTAATTGGGAGGAGAGGCAGCTGCCCTACCCAAACTTTGTTTTTTGTGAGAAATGTGAAACGTCTGGTTATTGAATATGTTTATGGGTACTAATATTAATATACACAAAGTACAAAGTCAAAATTACGTATTTTATAGAAATTAGGGTTCAGCTTTGACCCCACCCCACCCTAAGATTTTGCTAAAATGGCACCACTGAGGAAACTCTTTGTCATCAACATTACTAGACTAATGAGACTTACAAAGAGAGTCAGTTTTATAATATAAAAAAACTCTTTTTCATCAACATTACTAGACTGATGAGACTTACAAAGAGTCAGTTTTATGATATAAGAAACTCTATGTGAAAACAATAATAATTTCTTACTCAGAGACTGTTTTAATAATGTAAATTTGCTGTATTTCGACAAGTTGTAAACGTTCTGTGTGAAAACAATAATAATTTCTTACTCAGAGACTGTTTTAATAATGTAAATTTGCTGTATTTCGACAAGTTGTAAACGTTCTGTGTGAAAACAATAATAATTTCTTACTCAGAGACTGTTTTAATAATGGAAATTTGCTGTATTTCGACAAGTTGTAAACGTTCTGTGTGAAAATAATAATAATTTCTTACTCAGAGACTGTTTTAATAATGTAAATTTGCTGTATTTTGACATGTTGTAAACGTTCTGTGTGAGACTGTTTGAATAATGTTCCACTTATGATTATTTAACAATACTTATAAAGAAATACACATAATTAAGCACGGGAATCAAGTGTTAATCTCCTAAAGTAAGATTGAGGAAAGGGCTAATAGTTATCTCTCTAAAGGTATGAAGATGTATAATTTCAAAGTTGTAACATGTCTTACCAATTACTTTAACCTCTATGAAGTTACAATATAAGCGCTTCGTACATTTATGCTTAGTGTAAATGACTGGAAAATCTGAATAATCACATTCTCAGTCTTTCAGCAGTTTCTTTCAACTTAGGTTGCAATGGTAAACCTTTTGACCTGCGTACATCTTGCAGGCCTTAACAAGCAGGTCAGGGGTTAGAAACAAACAGGTCAGTGGAGAAAAAAGCAACAATAATCGCGAACAAAGCACAGCAACATAATAACGCCCTGTATACGTGTGTGCCTGACATAATAACGCCCTGTATACGTGTGTGTGTGTGTCTGACATAATAACGCCCTGTATACGTGTAAGCCTGCTTTTGTGTAACGTATACTCACTTTTTACCTGAAAATATTTTGATCCGATAATAGTTTTTCTTGTAAGATCAGTAAACTGAATTAAAAATACTAAGCCTTAATTTCCCATCCTCATATTTAGAGTGAAGTATCACAAGATATATGTTTAGGTAGCAGTTACGGAGGCAGGAATAGTTAAAGCAAAAGAACTGCTTGATCGAATTTACCTTGGGTTCAAACAAGTAATTATTAAAGCCGCAAGCATATAACCGTATTTTCCCACCATATGTTTTCTTTACTCTTTGAATATACCCTCTAATTCACGCCAGATAATTCATCTCCTCCTCGCCCTTTACTGCTCCACCCCCTCCCCCTTCAAACACTGTAATTGAACGGTCCGCCGTCTCGTAATCTGGGCAAGGCCCACAATGTAATGAATAATAAAATTTACACGGGATATTAACGAGAGTAACGGGGAAGTGTTCGGGATCACTTATAGTCTGGTTTATAAAGAGTAGGCTAAAAAAAGGGTGTCCGTTAGTATACCCTCATTAAAACCTTGGTCTCATAACACCCACCCTGCTAGATGGTGTGAGGTCAAATATAGAGTTTTGTTACTTCTTACAAGCAACAGGAAAACGATTTAAGAATATCTATATATGGGCCTGTCGCAGTACTTCACTGCTAACGAAATATTTTTTGAAACAGCACAGAATTTAAGATAACATATCATGGAAACGAAATTCTAGAATATAATATACTTCTCACATATATTTGTATTAATTTTATATTCTACTTCTGAGCGTTTCTGTATGCAAACATAAAAGTGCGAGCATAATTCAATAGAATATTTATGATGAACTAATGTAATTTAATAGCCAAGACGTAATTAGATATGAAATGGTAACCAATATTTCGTCCCTGCATAACCTTGCAATAAAAACAACTTGTAACACTCATGTGAAACTCCACATATAGATAAAACTGTGTGAAACAATAGAGAATGGGAATATTCACGATACATTTTTGAATGAATATTTGCATGTACTGGGTTTCATGTAAAGCAGCGGATCCAAAACCAAGGACGGCGAGTTTGATGGGACGAAAAATATCATGTGTAGCAAACAGGACCGAATTGATGGTTGAAAAAATCATATATAGCAAACAGGACTGAACTGGTGGTTGAAAAAATCATATGTAGCAAACAGGACTGAATTGGTGGTTGAAAAAAATCATATGTAGCAAACAGGACTGAATTGGTGGTTGAAAAAAATCATATGTAGCAAACAGGACTGAATGGATGGTTGGATAAAAATCATATGTACCAAACAGGACTGAATTGATGGTTGAAAAAATCATATGGAGCAAAGAGGAATGAACTGATGGTTGAAAAAATCATATGTAGCAAACAGGACTGAATTGATGGTTGAAAAAAATCATATGTAGCAAACAGGACTGAATTGATGGTTGAAAAAAATCATATGTAGCAAACAGGACTGAATGGATGGTTGGATAAAAATCATATGTACCAAACAGGACTGAATTGATGGTTGAAAAAATCATATGTAGCAAACAGGACTGAATTGATGGTTGAAAAAATCATGTGTAGCAAACAGGACTGAATTGATGGTTGAAAAAATCATATGTAGCAAACAGGACTGAATAGATTGTTGGATAAAAATCATATGTAGCAAACAGGACTGAATGGATTGTTAGATAAAAATCATATGTAGCAAAAAGGACGGAATTGATGGTTGAAATACATTTTCGAAAAGCTGGAATGGCGCAGATTCGAGATATCTGAAATGGGGTCGCCACTGAATGAAATTTGGGAATCGTCGGTGTGAAGAATCGTGGGTAATGTACAAAAGCAATACGTGCAACAGATCGCTGGTCAAATATAGTGATGAATCACAATTTCTTTATTTTCAGTTTTCATTTATCACAGAAACATCGCTCTCTGCCAAATCGACTCATTATTACAGCGTTATGTATACAAATTCGTACAAGATGTTTCTATAAATATTATTGAAAAGAAATACACTTTAACTATTCAAATTCTACAAAAAATGCATCATGTTTGGTAACAGTAATGTTTACAGGAACGCGGAATGTAGTTATAGAAATAATGATGGAATACTAGAATTTTACCCACCTAACCATAAAGTACAGACGTTGATTTTCTTCATACCCACACAATTCTGTTATAACAAACCCACTTTTCTCGTATTGTCGAGAGAGTTTTTCAACTTCTGACTGTATTAATTGAGTGTTCAAAATCCATTTACGCGATTTCTTGGTAGTGAATGTGACATACAGTTCCGAATCAATCAGGCTGCAAAAAATATTTTTTAAGTATAACCCTCTCTTTGTGTGAAGTTTGATTTGTGACTCCAGCAGGATTCGCTTTACACTGATATTAAAGATAGATTGAGGTTTAGAACCATTCCATTTTAGTATTTTATGTTTCGGTAATGCCTCAGTATTTAATAATTCTAATGGATTTCGACGATTTAGATGATCGCCATAAGACGACGGCAAACGATTAAAATGGTTTCTAGCTTCAGCAACTAATGACTTGTGTTGCATATTGCTGGTTAAGATAAACGAGAAATAGTGTCGCCCAGAAAAGATATACTCGTTAACTTGAAATACTGTGAGATTGGATAAATTAAGAGCTCTCTCATACGTCTGTTTAAGGATGCGTGGAACAGAAAATTTCACTCCTCTGTTAACTTTCTGGTCATTATTCAGAGAAGTGACATCTAAAAGATCCGGGAATACTGATTCCTCGCGTGAATCTATTTTTTTCACCCACAATCTATCCAATGTTTTCTTCAGTCGGTTTCCTTTTCTAGCCGACAATAAGAACAACCAGCAGGTGCTCTTAAAATCCTGGTTTTTGTCAAAAGGAATATGGTATTGCATTTTTCCAAGAGTTATTTTGCAGCCAATAACAAAATCGTCATTGCTAGACCGATCCGATTCGATCCAGATAACGCCGTTGTTATCAATACGAATTCCCATGATATGCCACCTACTATTGTGTTGAGGAAGGGCTTTGGCTGCCTGTTCGAAAATGAATTTTAAAGAACTGAGTGATGAAATTTTATGTATATAATCAATATAATAATAAGAAAACAGACGCAGAACATCATATGCAGAAAATATCCAGTCTGCGAAAAAACTGAAAATATAATTTCCGGGGTCTACTTGTGTCGAATTAGACAACACTGTTGGTTCGATTGCGGAACACGCTTCACTATAAGCCAACGCTTGCGATGACCACATATTTCTTTCAAAGCAATTTTCACTCAGATATGTTTGCCACATCCCTAATGGTAATAGAAACGTATTCTTAATGAAATCTTTACATTTCTGACCAATGACTGATTCGATAACAAAGCATAAAATGACAAAACCTTCATCGCCCGAACACTGTTTTACCCCTGGTGGATGGTATAGTGGCTTGGAAAGAAGAAATGATAGAACATTCACAAATCTTCTTATTTTCAAATTTTCTTTTATTTCTTTGTTGTTAACATGTCTTCGTTGCTCATTGAAGTTTTCAAAATTGAATGAGGCGCCATTTTTGATTTGACACTCTAAACCCGAGGTTTGCATTAACAAATGCTCAATGGTTATTTCATACACTAGATGATCCACAACAATGTTTGATAACTGTTGCCACGGAAAGATTTTACGGAGTAATCCAGAAAATCCAAAGACGTGGTCATACAGAGTCAGCTTTTGTTCTTCAGCAAGCTTTAAAACAGCAAGAGCGACAAGATGATGGGAAATACGACGAGACCTGAGAGATGGAATCAACTTCCAGGTTTCTTCACTGGATAATATCTGTCGATACCGAAAGTGGTTGTTAACGGTAACACCAAGAAAACTATAGGTTCTGTTTTGATCTATCATAAGTCGTATAACAGAAGATTCAATATCAGAAAACTCGGGACTTTCAGGAAACAGTGCAGAGAGGTTTCCGTGGTAGCCTGAAAAGACAGAGAATCAAATTATTTAATAATGTTGTGACAGGAACAGGAAAAACATTGTGTGTTCCAGTTTCTTTATTTGAAATATATTTAAGAATGCAGCAAGACTTATAAATCTAAATTTGTTGAATAATTACAATGTAAAACCTAAGCAATATGGGGTTGACATCTAACTCGCGACTTTTGCAGAATTCGTTACACCATGAGAAGTAAACGATTTATTTCACCAAGTGGTATGAGAAAGCGTCTTAAGTTTGTTTGTTTGTTTGTTTTAGGCAGAGCCATATTTGGCAATTTGCTGTATCCACCGCAAGAAATCGAGCCCCGAATTTTAGTGTTGTAAGTCCATAAACTTACCACTGTTTCGGCGAGGTCAACGTCTTGAGAGAACAAAAATTAAACGCAAAGAAACTGATGTGATATTTTAAAAAAATGATTGATCATTCATCAAAACCATTTACAGCGTAATTTAATTTTACGAAAAAAAAATTAAATTGATAACAACGGAGCAAGACATGTATATAGAAGCTTTGTTTACTATCATTCATAGCTCCGTGTGTTTAATGGATAACAACGGAGCAAGACGTGTATATAGGAGCTTTGTTTACTATCATTCATAGCTCCGTGTGTTTAATGGATAACAACGGAGCAAGACATGTATATAGAAGCTTTGTTTACTATCATTCATAGCTCCGTGTGTTTAATGCAAAATTACGTAATAGGGCTGGATGTTCGTCAGCAAAAGCATAACAGTGATTATGTAAATATTTTTGTTTGTCCGTTGTAAAACACAGAGCTGCACAATAAGTATCGAACCCAAAAGCTTAGCGTTATAAGCTCCCATCCTTTTCGCTGAGCCATCGTGAGCATGTAAAGAAAACAGTATTAACAGTATTTAGTTTAACGACAAAAGTAAGTACACTTATGAATATATATTTATAGTTCAGAACAACAACATTTATATCTGTTTATAAATTATATTGGCCCGGCATGGCCAGGTGGTTAGGGAGCTCTACTCGCAATCTACGGGTCACGGGTTCGAATCCCCGTCCCACCAAACATGCTCGCCCTTTCAGCCGTGGGGGCGTTATAATGTGACGGTCAATCCCACTCTTCGTTGGTAACAGAGTAGCCCAAGAGTTGGCGGTGGGTGGTGATGACTAGCTGCCTTCCCTCTAGTCTTTCAATGCTAAATTAGGGACGGCTAGCGCAAATAGCCCTCGTGTAGCTTTGCTCGAAATTCAAAACAAACCTATATATTATTATTTTCATACTTTTTCCACAATACAGGGCACTTACCATGAACTAAACGTAAAGTAAAATATTTCATTTCATTCTATAAACTTCATCCTTAAAAATATTAGCTCAGAAAACGTAAAAGTAAGCATCATTTATAAACAAAGGTTAATTAAAGACGAAACTAACAGTGAGACCTGAACATCTTTAATGTATAAGCTTTGTTTCGTTTCAATCCATATTTGTAACGATTTTATGCAAATGATACATTTTAATTCAATTAATTATTAAATAATTCTTAGCTCTAAAATGAACTACGTATTTTACATAATTGTATGGAAAATTAGACAGATAAGTAGTTGGTGTGATATTAGATGACAATAAAACTGTTAATATTTATATAATTTTAATCTCATTTTCTTTTATTAACAGTCTTATTATAATGTAATCTCACGTCAAATCATGCTTCGTCAGCTTAGTCGTCACCTTTAGACTTGTCTTGTAAACAACTGAGATATAAATAACGTTTCAACCGAGCTCTTGTGTGTTGTAACCCAGCGAATCTAATTAGTTCTGGTAATTTGAGAGAGAAAAATGCAGTATTAAATGAAAGTTTACCTCTGCAGCGACGTGCAACACACACAGTGTGCTGTTGAAATGCTATTATACATTCTATACACTAGAAATCGATATCAAGCCAGTAAAGATGGATTTATTTAGAAGCCTTTCTGAGATGTAACGTCACACCACCTACCAAGTCCTAGATCATGGTTCGGCGTCGTATTTATCTATCGGTTTACTGAATATTACCCTCTTTCTTTCTTTTTCTAAGTGTGCTGGGCACATAGTGTAAGTGTCTCACTATTACAGATATAACCATTTAATTCAAATGATAAAAGTGTTGTTTATATAGATAAAGTTAAAAGTAGAAACAATTTTGTGCTGAAGAGATCGTAAAACTAGAATACTGGTTTAAACCGAACTTCTGTTTTACATGGAGAAGTTGATTGTGTTTGGTGTTATCATGATTATATATATTCTCACACATGTTCTGTATATTTTGATAAGAATATGATCTTCGATTCATCTCTAATAACGTTTAACGTATTTTTATGGATTACAGTGTCTAACGTAAAGGGATGTTGGTTTTTACCTGAGAAGCGACAATAGAGGAGAATTGTGTACAGCTTGTTTTCGCCAGAGTTCAGACTGAATCCGGAAACTTAATACCCGGATCAAAGTATTAAGTATCTTGTTGCATCTTGCAGCGTAACTTAAGGGCCTGCTAACAGTTTGGACATCTATTTACCTAACTAAGAAATTATACTAGCTTATTTAAGGTTCATAATCCTTGTGCTAAACCATTTATGTTAAAATTTCATTTAAGATCTGACAAATAATGATGATATAGAAAGTACAGTTTGGAACATTTTTTGCCCAAATGTTTTGTTTTTTTTTAAAGAAAGAAAAATGTTACTATACTCCATTCTTCTATTTTAAAAAAATATCTCAATATCTCACCTTTAGCTATTACATTTTAAAGACGACTGAAATGGATGATGCACGTATGTCTATATTCATTGCTAAAATTTAACAGACAAGTAACTTTGCAATGTTTACTGTGGTACACTGATTTTTAATGGCCCCCAGTGGCACAACGGTATGTCTGCGGACTTACAACGCTAGAAACCGAGTTTCGATACCCGTGGTGGGCAAAGCACAGATAGCCCATTGTGTAGCTTTGTGCTAAATTACAAACAAACAAACAACTCTTTAATGATAAAACAAAATGTATTTGTCTGTTCCAGAATATTCACGAAAAGCTAAAAAATATTATTTACACACAGCCGCCCCAAATTTTGAGCTTCTAGAGTTGAGAGAAGGCAGATAATCAATAACATCCATCCACCAACTCTTGGGCTATTCTTATCTGACCGAATAGTGACGTTTTTGTGACAACAAGCTGCTAACCATGAGCCTTCGGATTTACAGCCTGAATACGCTAACTACTTAGCCACGCCCTGCCCAAAAACAAAGTAAAATGAGCACTAAGAAATTGGTAGAGATGTAAAATTAAAGTGAAAAGTATAATGAAGTTATAACCACTAAACCTGAAATTCAAATTATATATTTCTTAATCTTAGAACATCCAGGATGAAATAAACGGGATTTCTGTGTTTTGACTGAACACTAATTTCAAATAATAAATATTTTTACCTTTCACAGATGATAACCAAATTATTAAACACTCTATAGTTGCTACCATCCACATTTTCACAAACATGTTTCCACTGAAATAAGTTATTTTCTCTACCCCATACACACTACGGTCACAGCAGGTCGCACTAACACCTTTGCTTTATCCACCACACTGCTAATACCTAACGATCTAATGGACACGGCTGAAGGACATTGGTGCTTTTAGGTCGACAAAATAGCAGGCGACCAGCTCCTCTATCTTTCCAAACAATGACCACCTCTCACATTCGTCGGCTTCTTGTCACTGGTTTCGCGTTCGTGCTGCACGCGCCCTTTAGTTGCCCGCCCTACGCCACACCTCCGACAACTACCTATATTTTTGTTTGAACGCTAGGGTTAGCATACTCAGTATACTGTGTCCTAGGTTAAACAACAACGCACCTCAGTTTTCAAAGAATGGTTAGAGGTCAGTCTTTGAAACTACCATTTCAACTGGTTCCCAAAATACTGAGGACGTACAGGAAAGAGCTACGTACATTTTAGGTTACTATTGTAGATTGACCAAAATCTATAAAAACGTAGTGTTAAGTGTGAGCAATTTGTAGAATAGTACACTATGACGAAATTTCAATATTTATTTTTTATTATCTTTTGATATATTTGACTTACTTAATATTTCATTGAGGAAAGCACGCATCTGTGAAGCTCGTAAATTAACCCATCACCAGCAAATGTATTTCAGACAGTACGTTTTCAAACAAAACGAGAATTTATGATATTCTTATTTCTCGGTGAACTGTTCTATTAATGGTTCATTATCAATATAAATAGATAGATGTGTTTATCATTTTTAGTTTGTTTTCTAAAATAGTTCTTATGTTATTTTCTGATAACAATTTTTTTATTTTAAAATAACCTAAAAAACTAGATAGCTCTAAAACGATTTTAAATTTTCTGCTGTATTGATGTTTTTCAAAAGCAACTAAAATTAGTCAAATAACAACGGGACGGTGTTAACCCTGACTGGTCATTATTCAGTTCAGTAACGTATGAATGGGATTAAAACCAGTAGATATTAACTAAAAAGTTTATGTAAATTATACTGGAGATATTTACTCCTTATAGCAGCATTATATTTATTTATTTACTTTTTTTCTAAAATACACGATTTGAAGTAAAAGACAAAGGTATCTCTACCAGTATACGTGATTTAGAAATTAAGAATTTTATAGAGAAGTAAGAAAGCCCATACTTTGTTAGCTTTAGGAATAACAAAATCAAAGTTCTATTAATAATATTCAATAACGAGAAAATAAAGTAAAAGCAAACAAAAGATTCTAGAAACGTATACAGAATAATACTAATGCCAAAATGCAAAGGGTAAAAAAACACTGGCACACAAAAAGGGAAAATAGCACAAATAAGTGAACATGTGTATTCAAAGACCCTGAAGTAAAAGATTGTTAAATATTTCAGTTCAGTAGCATCAGTAAAAACGATTTAGTGCCTCAGGTTCTGTTGGAGTGTCACTGGTTTGTTGGAAGCTCCGCTTGTTTAAGCAGAAAGACAAAATTTTGATACGAAAAAAAACAAGTAATATATAGTTCAAAGTTACGCCTGAGAGGAATGTCTATAAAAGTAAATCTCCCAAAAGATAATGGTTTTAGAAAGAGAAGATACTGTATTCGTGGTGAGGCTATCCTAATGGTTTTAGAAAGAGAAGATACTGTACTCAGGGTGAGGCTATCCTAATGGTTTTAGAAAGAGAAGATACTGTATCCGTGGTAAGGCTATCCTAACGGTTTTAGAAAGGGATGATAGTGTATTCGTAGTAAGGCTATCCTAATGGTTTTAGAAAGAGAGGATACGATACTTTATTCAAAGTGAGGCTATCCTGGAAGGTGAAAAAAAAAGGAACACCCTAATTAGTGTTCAGTACAATCAAGCTGAGAGGAGGGTCATAGAGCTGATTTGTCAGTACAAAATGAAGCACCACTGCAAGCGAAGGTAACGAACTGTTTTACTGGCTGATGGGTTAATGTAATTTAAATTATACAAGGTTTATGTAAGGTGAATAACTCAGTTTCATTACCAATACTGTTCATTCACATTATAAGCCATGGTGATGGCTTATTGAATATTAAACCAAAACTAGGTCTACATATACATTTTAAGTGTATATTTGTAAAAAATATTACCCCATAATTTTCATAATAATTATAGGCCTCACCTACATTGGATATCATATATATATACATATATATAATGTATAACCAAATCACCAATAAAATTCACTTGTGGATACAAATAACAAACATTGGAATATCAGACTATTCTATTTTTTCCTCACCTTTATTTATTTCTTCAACCAATTTTGTGAATTCAAAGGTCACTCTCCAGGATATAATTTCACCGAGAATCTATAACAAAAACATTCAAAAACCCAGTGCCCTTTTACCCAATAGGCAAAAGGGGCAATTGCCCAGAGTACACCACGTGTTGCGAGTATAATAATAAATAATAAAATATGAAGTGTATAATAAAATAATAACTAGATGTACTTCCGTAGGGTCACCGAAAGTGTTCTGTTTCAAGAGTAAATAAAACCAAAATTAAGAGTTTCAAATATTTTTATTTCTTGGTTTTGAAGGTCATATGTCATGCTGTGTTGTAGCCTACAGAGTGCATAATTCTTCTCGTGATTCATGGCATGCGCACATTTTACTGACGTCATGACAGTACAAATTGCAACGTCAAGCGTCACTTATGTGACGTCATTTTAGTGTCAGGCAGACAACACACCACAGGTGATCCCTTCGGCCCTCTTTCGGGAAAATAATAAACCAGTTTCTATAAAAAACATAATTTTCTTTTTTATTTCTAAATTATTTATAACTAATAGGTTGAGTTTATCAAATTGTGTAGTATTTTCTTAAAAACAAAGGTAATCAAAGGGGTCCACTAGTTTCCACACGCTCAGGGCCCACCAGTGCCTTGACGCGGCACTGCAAGTACCGTTTTTTCAACTGAACGTAAACAATCTAAATTAAATACATATATTTTCCAAATATACAAACATATAATATAAATTACGTATATTAAAAGTGTTCAGAACTAAATAAGATTAGTAATAGTTTATCCAATATACTTTCCTTTTTAAATTAAAATATTATTCTAATTATGCTTTCTCTTATTATTATAGAAACGCTAGTTATTTATTCCATAATTTCATACCTCTTACTTACTTTGTCTTTTCTGTAAATCTTAGTAGCAGTTTTCATGGTTTCACAATTCCTACTGTGTAAAAAATCGACAAAAATACCAATAGAAGCTGACAAACTAAGAGCAGAAACATATAATAGTACACCATCTATATAAATAATAAGCTTCTGTTTGACTGTCTGGAATTTTTCTCCCAAATTTCTCGATCAAACGCTACACATCTCATATCGTTAGAGAGGTTTTTGTCCGAGGAGTCCGGATTGCGTATTGGCTTTTCAATCCAGAATCACCTTACATATTTTTTTGCTTAGTCAAACTTTTCAGTGCAACGAGTATGGTACACTATGGCACAATGTCATTGTCATCACGTGACGACTGGCGACGATTTCAACTTTAGTTTTGTTTTTTATTTGCAAAGTATTTCACACAAACAACAGTTTAGCCGCGTGTAATTACCTAAAAAAGAAATAAACATCACACTAAATACAATTTCTATGGGCTTCCTCGACTTATTTAGGTCTAAAATACGCATGCGCAGTTCATTCAAAACCACATGCTTATCACTCTGTGAACACGCATTCAGACTTTTCTGCATATTCAGCTACGTTTGCTTTCATTACAACTTAACATTTACTTTGCAATAATTTAGCTTCGGTTCGTTTCATAGACTGTTATAAACTCCTTTTAGCTACTTTTTTCTTTACTACAGGTTTTATTCTTCGTTTTTGTGAGTTTCTTTATTTCAACTCATAAAACCATGTCATACACTGAACGTTCATAATTGTTTCATACTATGTACACTATTATAAGTATTATTACTTTACTATATTGTTTACTTTACGTGTAGTTTTATTAAATAAAGTGACGTCTACGTGAGTTTGTTTGTCTGACCATATAAAATTTGTTCAAATAAACCAGGATTTATCGATCTAACACATAATGCCTGCAAGAAAGTGTAGTTTAAATTCCGTGCATGAAAATGGTAGAATAAGGAAAATTCAAGCTAAGAGCATGTAAACTACCGCAAATGTTTTGCTGGTCGCGGCTAGTGATCATAAATATTATTTTATTTTTTTGTTCTTGAGTAACATTTGGATATAGTTTTCAAGTCACTCATAGCTGCTCTTCAGCTGGAAGCAAAGTAAGGTTACTGTTTACTCAGAATAAACTGTTGCAAAATTTATTCTAATAAATCAATAACTTGATAATTTGATTCCAGAAGGCTTACAAATACGTTATCAATGAATTCAGTAAGTAAAACAAAAGCAAAAACATTGTAAAATATGCATTACCGCTAAAATATATTCCTATTAAGTTGTTCAATTAAATGAAAACATTTATAAAGCAGTTAAAATACCGTATCATAAAATACATCAGGTTCCATCAAAGATAACCTGAGTTAAATACAATAAGTCATAAATATTTTAATGTTAATATCGTTACATTTAACAAATTATAATGATCGGAAGTCGATGTATACTTTTAAGCTATATATATATATTTAGGTGTTTAATGTACGATTGAGGTTTACATTGTGTGTCAGTTAAGTATCATCTGATGAAACCTTTAAAATAACGCATTTTAATATATATTTATTTTTTGAAAAACCTAAGCCGGTCGAAACATTGTGTTTTTGAATAAAAGTTCTTAATATTCGTATCAACCGTCTCTACAATAGTTTACTTTCCAAGTGGGTTCCTCGACATCAAAAATTAGGAATGGGTTTCTTTGTTTAGAATTTTCATGTTTCACGCAGAGCTGTCATATCTAGAAAAGCTATCAAATTGACCTTTCCATAACTAGTATAGAAAAAATCTGTATTTATGTATATTCACGTACTTTTGTTTAATTTACCATGCAGTTTCTGCATGTAGTTAATCACGTCCGTGTTGACTGTATGTCTCAAGGCCGTAAACGTGCTAATCCTTTTACACGGGCAAAGGTTATACAGTGCAGCCTTTGTTCTTAAATCTCAAGGTAGCGTATGTTCTACACAAAATCATAAGTACATTTCTTAACAGTATATACGAACGACGGCTCTTCACTTTTACTGTCTCAAAATATTCCATTACTCTTTCACTT